GTCTCATTGTAGTCTAGACCTTCAACCTGATGATTGCCAAAGATAACTAGCCTCGCCTTTAATCTCTGCAAATTCCCATGCTCATCGTATTTCTCTTTGTACACCCACTTGCTCCCGAGAGCCTTTTTACCAGGTGGTAATTTTTCTAGCACCCAAGTGCCCTGTTCTTCAAGCGCCTGTATCTCATCTGCCATTTCCTTTCTCCAACCCTCATGTTTCATGGCGTCCCTGAAACTTTTGGGTTCATTTCCTCTTGTAATAGCAGCAATATATTTTCTATGTTTCACAGACTATCGGTGAGAATCAACATAATGTGTTATAGGGTAAACAGTACCTGAGGGAGATGGTGTCACAAGTGAACTCTGAGTTGGTGTAGATGGACTATTATTTCGGATAGTGTGTGTCACATAGTCACGGAGTTTCATGGAAGGAATTTTTGGTCTCATGCCTTTACCCAAGGCCTCAGTACTTACTGGCTGCCCAACATCAACTATGTCGCTGCTATGAACTATCTGCCCAGCTTGTTGCTCTGAATGAGGGATGGAAGTTTGCTGCTGAGGCTCGTGCACTGAGCTGTCGCACTGCCCAGCTGCACCAGTGGGCGCTGGAGAGCCAGCGGGCTGATCAGAGTCCCTGACAGACTCTCCCGCAGCCTGGTCGCGGCTTGTGGCCTCCTGCCGCAAGTTGCCTGCGGTGTGGTCTGCTGCCCCTGCCTCATTTTCATCCCTTCTCACGTCTCTACCACTCCCCTCTTCATCCTCCAAGGTCCACTCGTCATCACTTACACCCTCATCCACGGAAGGAATGGAGTATGTCACACGCTTCTCATCCACATTAGGTGTAATAAATAGAAATGCATCCTCATGAAAAATCACATCCCTCGAAACAAATATATCTTGGGTCTCCAAATCATACATCTTCCACCCCTTTTTCCCGAAAGGATAGCCGATGAACACACATTTTCTACTCCTACTTGCAAACTTGTCACCTTTACTCCTTTGATTATAAGCGTAACATAAACACCCAAACACCCGAATATACTCATATGAAGGTGATTTTCCAAATAACATGTCAATTGGGGTTTTATAGTCAAGCAATCGAGAAGGTGTTCTATTTAACAAATGACATGCCGCTTGCACACACTCCCCCCAAAATTTCAGAGGTAAATTTGCTTGGAACCTTAAAGCTCTAGCCACATTCAAGATATGTTGATGTTTTCTCTCAACACGCCCATTTTGTTGAGGCGTGCCTACACACGAAGTCTCAAAATATATCCCATTTTCAAAGAAGTAGTTCTTCAAGGAATTAAATTCCGTACCATTATCACTACGAACCACTTTAATCTCTTGAGAAAATTGACGTTTCACAATAGCCACAAAATTATAAAACATGTACTCAACTTCCATTTTATTCCTTATTAAATAAGTCCACACACCCCTAGAATAATCATCGACAATGGTTAAAAAATAATGGGCACCACAAGACGATGGAGTCTTATACGGACTCCACAAATCTAAATGCACTAGTTCAAAAATCTGACTAGCTTTATTTTGACTCAAAGGAAAACTACTCCTATGTTGTTTTGCCCGAGGACATACATCACATGATTTAAATTTATTTCTACTACGACTCACAAATGGAAGTTGTTGTAGTACCTTTGCCGAAGGATGCCCCAAACGTTTATGCCACAACTCTGTCAAATGATCCCCATCTATCTTCAAAGTTACCGTAGGAGCACCCTGGAAATAATAAAGTCCATCTACTCGTTCACCTGCTCCAATCACCTTCCTCGTCATTAGGTCCTGTATAACACAAAGGTTGTTAGTAAATTGCATGACACAATTTGAGTCATCACATAATTGAGTTGCCGAAATTAAATTGCAATTCAATTGCGGTATGTAAAGGACATTCTCAATAGTCAAGTCCCCTTGCAAAGTCACTGAGCCAATTTTGTTAGCATTGACATATTTTCCATCCGGCAATCCCACCGGACAATTTTGAACATTAGAATTATTCGTCAACAAAGATAACTCGCAAGTGACTTGATTTGATGCCCCGGTGTCAATGATCCAACCCGGGTCATGGTTACCATTAGTCTTGAATTTAAGACCATTTAGATTACTAAGAAGCTGCTGATATTGATCGGAAGAAAGGCCCACAAAACGTTGCTCACCACATCCAGCCATCACACTCACAATGTAATGTCACGTAATTGGCACAATTAATTAATTTCACAAGTCCTCACAACTAAAAGAATTAATCTCCCAATTCCTCACAAATAAAGGAATCAATCTCACAATTCCTCACAAAATTTGTAAACCCCCACAAACTCACGTAACTCACGAATTTGTGTATGTATAAATCTCAAAGCAGTGAACTCTCACTCACACTTTAATTGTACGTGAACAATGAATGTTACGAACAAAATAAAAAAAATTAATTTTGGATCTCACTCAGGCTCTGATATCATGACAAACTATGATCGTATAATTCTCTGTGTAATTCTCATTAATCACAATGGCCACATACAATATATTTATCAATTAGGTATACTTAGAGGGCAAGACCAAATAACCTAAAATAGCTAAAATAGCTAAAATAGCTCACAATATTCTCTAGGATATATTCTCACAATATTCACAATTATCTTGTTTCCTAAAATATATCCCAATATTACACCCTTGCACCTAGGTGTATAAGAATTTCCTTATTTATTGATGACGATAAACAACTTAATTGAAGATTGATTATTTGCTTTGAATTTTGATAAATGCGACATTTTATATGTATTGAGAGGCAAATCAAGTTATTAATCATATAATATTGATCATTTATTATATTTTATGTGTAGTAGAGCTTGTAATTGGACTAATAACTCAAAAGATGATTGTATTTGTTAAGACAAGGTTTTGAACTGCATTACAGTTTATTTGAGCTTGATTTGAGAGGTTAGCAGACATTTTATTTTCAGATTCAAATGAGAACATGTGGATTTTACTTTCAATTATAAGATAATTTTAATTAGGTAGACACGTTTTCACCAAGGCATGTGGACCATAGGCCAAATCATCAAAGTTGGCTTGGCATAAATCGACATATTGAAAACCCAATTAGGTTAAAGTGATTTTAAAGTATTATGGGGAGTAATGGTATTCGGTTAATACAATGGGGGTAATAAAAGTCATATAAAAGAAAAAAAATGAGGAAAGGTGGTTCACGTGGTTGCAAGGGTTGGATCAATGGAAGTGTTGTGAGAAAGGTAATATGGGATTCAAATTTTTATACGTGACTAGCTACATGGTGTGGCCACTTCATATATAAGACAATTAATTAAGTAATAGGGGTTATAGTGATGGAAAAAATGAATTTACCTTGCCGCATGTGAGTTACTTAAATGAGAAAAGGGGGTTACCCTCTTAGGGTCGGTTCTCTTCAAATTATTTTTAGTTCAGTTCAGTTCAACTCTAATATGTTCAGTTCAATTCAGTTCAGTTCAGTTCATTTCTTAATTTCCTCGTCTCATAAAATGTTCAGTTCAATTCATCTCCAATAAGTTCAGTTCAGTCAATTAAAACAGGATTTTTAAAAACAAAACATTAAGGGTTACTCGAATGAACAAACATGTTTAATTTTTTTTATAAATTACTTCATATTAGTCGTGTAATGAATTTTGGTACTTTTTTTTGGACATGGTTACTTTTAGGAATAAATGGGGTTACTCATACATATAAATGAAGATTACTCTAATAACTCAATATGACCACAACTTGTGACTAGCCACGTACAAGACTCGCTAGGGACTAGTATATTTATAGAAGGTAATATTTCCTCAAGTTGTTCCTAACTAGCTAGATGATAAATTTCTTATTTACCTTTTGTAAACGTTTGTGGAAGGTGAATAAAATAATAATTACTTCCCCCGTTCTTTTTTACTTGACTCAGCTCGCTTTGACTTTTACACTATATATCACATCTTCTTTGACCGTCTTTTGTGAAAAATAGGTAAGGAAAAACATATTCATGTTGGATATTTTTGAATTTGTTTTAATAAATACTATCATAATATATAACTTTTATATTGTTTAATTATAGAAAATTAAAGTTATTGATCGTTAAAATTTTGCATTGATAAGCGTGATAAAAGAATAAGTCAAGTAAAAAAGGAAGTATAAGATTTTGGAAGATCAGGCTACTTGCCCGTGACTTTTTTTTTTTTACAAAAAATGCTACTTGCCGTGGAAGATCTAGCTACTAATGTTTAAAGGTAAAAAGTACTTTGTATAAGAAAAGTCAGTCCTAAAAGGTCTAGTATGATTTATTTCGGTGAGTTCATTATCTACTTTAATTTTAGTAATTTTTGATAATGTGTAATTTAAATACTACGTATATTTTTTGTGATCAAACATTTGCAATGATAAATACAAATGGGATTAGAGGAACTTTCCCTAAATATTTGAGAAATAGGGGGTCAATTAACATTCTCAGTAATCGAACATAATTATTACAGAGGGTCAATCAACATTCTCAATAATCAAACGTAGAGATTTGCTTTCTTTTGTGTTTTAGTCTTTTGTTGTCCCCTTTGTAAAAAAAAAACCACATATATAATGGTTACAAAAAATGAGCTAAATCTTTAGTATGTGTGAAAGTTATCAGCATAAAACAAATAAATTATCTGATTATTCAGTTTTATCTACCAGCTTAATAAAAGTAGAAGAAATTTCCCTTAATAGCATTCTAAAAGCTTTCTTTCAGGGCTTGTTGATTATTATTGAACATTTTATCAATTTTTTAAGCCATATGAAAATTGCCACAAATAGCAGTGGTTATCCCTAATCTTTTGGATTAATTACCATTCTCATGATTTAACTAATTAATCACATCCATACAAATGGTAGAACGACAATTAAATAAGGCCCTAGTCTTAAGCCATATTTTTAGCATTCTTCATGTAATGTTACTAGTTAAAAAGACTTGTGTTTTATTGTGATGTTATAACACAAGAAGAGAAACAAAAACATACTACAATATTAGCAATTAATTGAAAGAAGAAAGGGAAAAAGATGCCGATATACAGAATAGCAATAGGAAATCCAGGAGAGGCTAGCAATCCAGATGCAATTAGAGCAGCCCTTGCTGAATTCTTCTCTATGATTATTTTCGTCTTCGCCGGACAAGGTTCCGGCATGGCCTTCAGTAAGTAATAATGTAGAATATGTAGAATTCGACCATGCATGTACTATTAATTATTTGTACCTGTAGATGGTCTTCAGCTAGTCTTTATTGATGAAACACGCATTTCATTTGTGACCTGGTGACAAATGGGTTGTACATGCACCATATTACACTCGTTTTGTCAAAATGAATGCAAGTGATGAAAATCAATATCAGGATCCTCTGAAATCAGAAGGAAGCTCTATCCACCTAAGCAACTCACTCTTATCTCATTTAAATCCATTAGAGTACATGCACCATATCGAATATAGTTATTACACGTAAAAAAAATATAATTATTACCCATTAAAAATCAACAATATTAATTATCATTAGACTATTTATTAATATTAGCCGTGTCATATGTTTTCCAAAAAAAAAAAAAAAAAAAAAAACAAAAAAACCACAGAAAACGAAGGAAGTAATTTTGATCACTAAAGCTTATAAACATTACATTCATGTGACTTTCTATTTACTCTTTGGCCAATATAATCAACCTTTCCTTTTCTTATTGATTGAAAAAAAAAAAATTAAAAAATCATATATTCTCTATGGTTTGTAACAACAATAATGAATTGGGATTTCAGGCAAACTGAACGACAACGGGACGATGCCGTCGACAGGGGTAATAGCAGCATCATTAGCACATGCATTCGGACTGATAGTAGCAGTCGCAGTTGGTGCAAACATATCAGGAGGACATGTTAATCCTGCTGTTACCTTTGGTGCCTTCATTGCTGGTCACATTACTTTGTTACGCGCCATTTTGTATTGGATTGGTCAATTGTTTGGCTCCGTTGTTGCTTGCTTCCTTATCCAATACGCCACCGGCGGCATGGTAATTCCTACCATCACCATTTGATTTGTGTTTATACCATGAATTTACTTGTGAAATGGTCTTATAATAACATATTCAGAGAGTAAAGTAGTCCTTTTAAAGAGAGTTTTTTTAACACTATGTTTGGATAACAATAGTGAAGGGAAAGGGACTAAGGGAGGGGAAGGAAAAAGAGGGAAGGGAAAGGGAGGTGAGGGGAGGGAAAAGGAGACTTTGCATTTTCCTTTCCTTTCCCTCCATTTCTCTCTATCCAAACATAGCGTAAAAGAGTTTTTAATGTCTTAACATATTAACTCACGATAAGTTAGTGCGAAAACATCTCATTAATTAGATTCTTAAGTCTTTTATAAAAGTTTATACTCCGCAGTTTATATAATATGTGGTCGGAATAAAATGCCATCAGCATAAAAACAATGTACTGTATACTTTTTTGGGTGAGGACATGATCCGAGGGGCAGAGGGGAAAATTTAAATAAATCATTCCAAATTTTGTAAGGACAGAACCAATTATTATATAATTATAATTTATAAGAGGGGGATATTAAATAAATTATTCGTAAAATGAGTTTGGAAAGATTCGACCACTAACTTTTTGATAGTTGGAAAGCTAATCAACGGTTCAAACCTCCTATACCTGGGCTGTCTAGGTAGTATGACTAGCATCTTATTATTTATTACACTTGACCTCTTTAATAATCAAAGCATGTAATTTTTTGTGTTACAGGCAGTATCAGCATTTGCACTATCATCAGGGGTTTCTTCATGGAATGCATTAGTGTTCGAGATTGTAATGACATTTGGGCTGGTCTACACAGTCTATGCCACAGCTGTTGACCCAAAGAAAGGCAATTTGGGCATAATCGCCCCAATTGCAATTGGGCTCATTGTTGGGGCCAATATCTTGGCTGGTGGACCTTTTGATGGGGCATCAATGAACCCAGCAGTCACATTCGGACCCGCCGTTGTTAGCTGGACTTGGACTCACCATTGGGTTTACTGGCTCGGCCCATTTATTGGGGCAGCCCTTGCTGCTATTATCTATGACCACATTTTCATTGGTGATGATGAGTACTCTCACCAGCCACTCCCAACTGATTATTAAGTGAAATTTAGGGCTCGTTCGGAATCACAGTAAGGTTCTCGAACATGCATGCCCTTAGTTTCTAAATGGGAATAAATTTAGGGTTGAAGTTCCAAAAGTCATTATGAACTCGAGCTAATGGCCCTGAGAAGGCACAATTTTATTTTATTTTTTTTTTTTTTTTTTTTTTTTTTTTTTTGGATTTGTGTGTCAGGTGTGAAATTATATTGATTTAATTTGTAATGATTGGTATCAACAAGTCAGAAGTTGGTGAATTTCATTGGTGTCTACAGTCTTCTAATGTTTGTACTTAATTATTCAAAGTAATTCCATAACTATGGATTATGGTGATTTCAATAGAATTATTGTTAGTTCAAGCTATATGAATCAAGTTGTTGCAGTTTAATCATGTTGCACTAGTTTAAAAGGATAACATTTATATGAAAGAAATGAATTTTCCCCTTCAATATCTATACTAAAGTAATTATCAAAATAATTATTTGATTACACGTGTCAACACCATATTAAAAATTTTCCCTCCAAAAACTTTTTTTTTTTGGTAATTTTTTTCATAAGAAAATAAATAATAATTTTATCAAGATTAAAGATAAGATAGAAGATATAACATACATAATCCTGTTTTCAATTTGATTGAATAAAAAAAAAGGTCTGTTACGTAGTGATAATTTCAGATTTTGACGGCTAAAAGTAAATCATTTCATGTTATGCATAAATATAATCCAACCATGTATTAATTGAAAAACCTGAGCATAGCTCGAGTATTAACTAACTAGCATAGGAATTATGACAAACTCTATACTCAAAGAAACATGATTACCTCGTTTTTTTTTTAAAAAAAAAAATCCCTATATTTTCAGTCAAACAATTTGACCCCATGCTATTGTGATATAATGATGACAACTAGATGTCATTACTGGTGCCACCATTTTTTTCTTCTTTTATTATTTCCTACCTTATAATATAATGAAAGGTATTTAAAAAAAAAAAAAAAAGCCCAACTAGATCAATATAATATAGGAGGGTACCTAGGTTACCCAATTTAAATAACAAATATTATTACTCAAATGGCTATCTTGTAAATATTGGTCTTGAAATAGTTGCCAGTCATTTCTTCTTCATCTCTCTCCACCCAGGTTACTCCATAGCTAACAGTCATTTCTTCTTCATCTATCTCTGTCGGCATACACCACCACCACAGCCACCACCATCATCACATCCACAATCTCTCTCGCTAAACACATCACAACAACCACCGTCGACCTCCTCTTCTCCGATCTTTGTCAAGTCCATCGACCTTTGATCTTTCTCAAGCCTGTCCACCTCCTTTTCTTTGTCCTTTCTTAAGTCCATCAACCTTCGTCCTTTCTCAAGTCCGTCGACCTCCGATCTTCTTCTTCCCCCGTTGACCTCTTCTTCTTCGTCCTTTCTCAAGCCCACAATGACACTTTGCGGCGGAACAAAACAAAACCCTAGTAATAAAAAGTGTCAATTAGGTCATATAAATCCTTTAGGGGAAGTGTCTTGTTTGGAGCAGCAATTTTAACCACCTTAGGTGGTGGAAATGGAGGAGGCATTGATAGAGGTTGACAGACTATGTATAGAGGATGAAGGAGGCAAAAATGGAGGAAATCTGGGATGGGGAAGATGAAGATAGTAATTAAATCATGACCTCTATTTTGCCCTTTACTTAGGCAGGTGAAATGATGATTGTGTCCTTTGAGTAACTTGGATTTCCTCTTATAATATACTTCGTAGCACATAACTAATAATAAGAGTGAATATTATAATTATTCCAAAATATATTACAACTATTTGATTCAAAATAGAAATTACTTACCATAATTTTTTTTTTTTTAAAAAAAGTAAATAAATCAACTAACATTTTTTGGTAACTTCCGAGTCTTCTTCTCTCTTGCATTCTTTATTACTTTGGTAACTTGCTCCATAGACCTCTCCACCATTTGGTTTCATCATAACCCTTTGTCTTTTTTATAATAACTTTTTCGTTTTTTCCGCCGTCATTAATTTCAAGTAAAAGACCGCACCACCATTTTTGCCGCTAATTGCCACCCTACTACTGCCCTAACGTCAGCCACCTCACCGTTGTCTTCCGCCACCTCATTGTTGTCATGACTTGATGTCAGCAAAGAGGATTCTCTCTGTCGTGATCAAGTGTAGTCGTACCTTTGTTTTCCGTGATCATGGTATGTATAGGTGGCTATAGGTCTTTGAATCAAGTTTTGAATGCATGTTTTGGCGAATGTTTCATTTTAATGATTGTTTGAATAAATGTTGCGTGTGAGAAATTTGAAATAATGATTTTCATGAAAAGTTAGAATATAATTTTACGATTTAAAGGCTTGATCTTTAAAAATGTTAATTAATTTTATAAAAGTTGTTTATAAATCACTTGATTACAAGTTATTGAATTAGAGGAATTAATTTAAAATTTGTAGCTCTTTGTGGGCCTTAGTATTTAATTTTATCATCCTTCTTCTACCAAGGACTGGTTAAGTAGGACCATGAACTTTGTATGATCGGGTCTTTCCTCGAGTATAGTTTGACTTGCTTGGGGGGGGGGGGTGTGCACAGTTAGGTGAGGAAAATTGATTTTGGAAATTTGTCTAAAATTTGAAAGTTAATAAATTTGGAAACATATTAACGTAGAAAGTTTCTATTATTGATGGACATTACTGTGTTTGGAAGGTTTAATTTTGGTAATTCTAAATTCGGAAAGTCTAATTTTGGAAAGTGATATTTGGCAGGACTAAATTGAAGTAGTTATTTCGAAAGCATGTTTTTCTAATAAAAGTATTTACATGTCTTGCACTTATATGTGCTTACCGTTTTTGCTAATCCATTTTGTTTTTGTTTTTGTTCTCCTTATTTTCCATTATTGGTAAGCAGTTTTGATTTCAGGTGTGGAGGTTGATCGTGCACATACTTGAGTTGGGATTGGGATCACCTAGCTAGAATTTTATTTATTCATGAGTCAGACAAGTTTTTATTTGGAGTATTTTCAAACAATATCTTATATATGGTTATTATAGCTATAAATAAAACTCAGTTATTTTTCGTTACCATTTTTAGTAGTTAAGTAAGACTTACGTTTTCACGTGGCGGTAATACGTCTAAGTCTATTTCTATGGTATTTTATATGTATATTTCCGTAGAAGGGGATATGGGGGGTGTTATAGTTTTTAAATTCATCAATCTAATAACGCTATATAAAAAAGTATTAAAAAGGTTCTTCATGGACAAAGCACACTCATCCAATGATTGTTCATTCTCTAAACATCAAAGCTGATTCATTTTGACGCTAAGAAGAAGGTGAAGATGTACTTGGTAACCGGTGTCATACCTAAGTGCAATAGGTTCTTTGATGTACTTGGCCATTAACACTAAGTAGGCATTGCATTCTCGATGAACTTGTTACAAGGTACAACTTTGAATTGAACCTATAAGCAGACACTAGAATGGAGTGAAACAACTACTCCGCTATATATATACGCATAACAATTGATTTAGGGATATTCTATCCAAGAAATAGAAATCCTACTCTCGTGGGATATGCCACTACTAGACAACAGTCCATTACCGGCGGAATGGTTCCGACGGACACGTAAATCCTCCAAAAAAATCAAAAATTCCAACTGTGTTTTATTCTATCGAATATTTCCGACAGAATCATTAATTCCGTCGAAAATTTCTGATGGAATAAAAATCCGTCGAAAATTTCCTACGGAATAAAAATCCGTCGGAAATTATGTAATTTCTAATGGATTTTTCCCTCGGAAAGTACATTTTTGACGGAATAAGAATCCGTCGGAACTTTCCGATGGAATATTTTATTTTTTTTGTAAAAAAAAAAAACTTTTAGAAAACCCTAAGATGCTAAGTTACCTCTCTATATTGTCCGCCTCTTTTTTTCTCTTTCCCTCTTATCCTTTTCTTTCCCCTTCTTCTCTCTCCTCTTCATTCTGCTCTTCGTTCTCCTTGTCACTCCTCAATGTTCTCCTTCTCTTTCCTCATCTTCTTCTCGTTCTCTTTCCTTTTCCTCTTCTCTTTCTGGCCTATTTTTTTTCTCTCTTCTTCTTTCCCCCTCTTTCTATCTACCACCGCCAACACCCACCATCATATACGACAACACCAACATAGCACCGTATGAATAACAACATAGACATCAACATGTCATCAACGACACAATTAAATTGAAGGTTTTCAGATCAAATTATGTTGGGTTTCGATGAGTCCGACTCACCGCGGAAGAAAACCTGAGCCAAGACCACACTTGCAATTAATATAACCACAAAGCATAATTAACTTAAACAAAATTAATTAAGAAAAAGATTAATACCTTTGACGCGTGCTTCGCTCACTAAAAGAGATCTTACTTCGAAAGCTCTAAGTCTCGCTCGCACAAATACCTCCAACAGAAGTTCACCCGCAACTCGACCCCGACAATGGTCCAATGCTTAGAGGTTAGCTAAGCCCGACCTAAACCTGAGTAATTATATGTGTTCAAAGGTTTTCTCAATGGAGATGCCTTTCTCAACACCTTACTCAAGTGATTTTCCCAATACCCAAACTTGGGTATTTATAGGGAAAAGCATGAGTGAGATTTGCTCTTCCATCAATGTGGGAGAATTGATTACTTCTTTTATTTTTAAATCAAAAATAAAATTAATTATCAAGATACTAATAAATCAACAAGTAGCACATTTAGGAGAAGAGTTAGGTGGGGACCGCAAGGAGGGGAGGTGTAATACTCCGTGTTTTTATAAAGTATTTAGGTATTTATAAATTATATTTTAAGGGCTCAAGTATTTAAATTAAATATATTAAAGAGTAAAAGTATTTTAATTATAAGGTTTAATAAAAGTAAAATATATGTTTTGGGTCAAACGTTTTTGACCGAAAAGTTCTGTCGCTGATGGTCAAATTTCCGTCGCAAATCACCTTTACGACGGATTTCCGTCGTAACGTTCCGTCGGAAAACCTTTCGTAGGAAAAAGTTGATTTTACGAGGAAAATTCCGTCAGAAAGATGTATTACGACGGATTTTCCGACCGATCCCGTTCCGTCTTAAATTATTTTGACTTTCTAGTATTATTCGTTGCAACATTATGACGGAAAAATCCGTCGCTGAAGGGACATCAACGACGGAAAAATGCGTCGTAAAAATCATTTTCCGACCGAAATTATTCCGTCGCAAAGCTGATATGTTGCGACGGAATTTAATTCCGTCGCTAGTTTACGACGGAAATTTTCGTCGCTAACTACCGATGGAATTTAATTCCGTCGCAACCTAATGGCTTTGCGACAGATTATTCTCCCTTTTTTCCGTCGCAAAAGTTTAATTTGTTCCGACGGATTTTATCTTTATTTTTTCCGTCGCGAAAAAACTATCCATTTCAACAAATTCTGGTATTT